ACGTCCCCAGGGCGGAACAGGGGCAGAGCCGGGACCCAGGGGGCGGAGCAGAGGCGGGTACACGTCCCCAGGGCGGAACAGAGGCAGAGCCGGGACCCAGGGGGCGGAGCAGGGGCGGGTACACGTCCCCAGGGCGGAACAGGGGCAGAGCCGGGGCCCAGGGGGCGGAGCTGGGGCGAGTACACGTCCAGAGGACGGAAGAGAGGGGGCCGGGGCCAGAGCCCAGGGGACGGGTACACGTCCCGAGAGCGGAACAGGGGCCGAGCCGGGGCCCGGGGGCGGAGCAGGGGCGGGTCCAGGTCCGGAAGGTGGTGGCGAGGGGGGCCCAGGCTGACGGAGGCTCACGGTCACGGGCGCTCGGCGGCCGCCCTTCGGGGCTGCAGTTTCAGGAGGTGCAGGGCCACGGCGAGCAGGCCGAGGAGCAGCAGCAGCCCGAGCAGCAGCCGCACGGGCGTCCGCGCCGGGGAGCCGCGGGGCCGTCCGGACGTGGCCCGCACGTAACAGTCCACGGCTTCGGCGAAGCTGAACTTCTCCGGCGCGTAGCCGAGCTGAGCGCGGGCCTTGGCGATCTGGAAGGTGTGCGTCACCGCCACGCTGCACACCTGCGGGGCGAGGCGGGGAAGCCGAGGGGCTGGGACCGGGGGGTGAGGGGACTGGAGAGGAAGGAGCTTCCTCCACAGTGACTTGAAAGGACCTGTGTGCGGTGTTCCCGCGTTTCCACCTCCGTTTTCCTCCAGGGCACCGCCTCCAGGATGCCTTCCTTGCATCTCCCCGGCCAGCGCCGCCGAACTCGCAGCGCACGGCGCTCCCCACCTCCGTCCCCAAGCAGCACAGACCCGCACCTCTGCGCTCCTCCTCCCGGGTCCCCGGGCCAGCCTGGTGCTGCCGGGGCTTCGAGGGCTCTTGGCCCACACTTGAGGGTCCCCTAGGAGAAACTGAAGCCCTGCCTGTGGCGTGGGAGCGGATCGGGGGAAAAACGACTCTAGGAAACACCCTCACATTCCTGTCCCAGCCCAACTCTAGCCAGAAGTCCTCTCGATTTCCCGCGCTTCCAGAAGAAGGGAATGCGGTTACGGAGACGCGATTACTCTCCAGGGCCTGCGCCGCGTTCTTCTAATGACGCACGGCCAACAGCTTCAAGAGTAGTAATAAAAAACCGAAAACCAAACGCACTGCCATCGACTGGGATCCGACTCATAGTGACCCCTCCTTGGGTTTCCAAGCGGTTATCTCTATGGAAGTAGATTGCCCAACCTTCCGAGGAGTGGCTGGTGGGTTTGAACCGCCAGCCTTCTGGTTAGCAGTCAAATGCCTTAGGCACTGCCACCAGAGCTCCCCAAGGGTAATGATGACAGCTGCCAATTAGTGGGCACTCGGGCCTGAGCTGGGCTACATCCTCTCGCAATTTTATTTAATCTTCTGAGGTGGAAGTACCACCTGATCTTTGCATATTTGGAGATGAAGCTGAGCGTGGTTGAGTGACTTGCCCAGGGTCACACAGAGGGCCAGGTGCCGGGCACGCGTTTCCCTGCTGTGCTGGGGTCCTGACTCCCTCCACTGTTCCTCAGTCAGACCCTGCTGCTCATTTCCTCTGGTCCTGAAAAGGCCTTGGGGTCCAGTCCCTGGTCTTGGATGCTTGGGGTGTTGGGGAGAAAGAGGCCACTTGTCCCTTTGAGCCCCAACTAGTAAATTCAGGGCTTTGAGAGGGTGTGGAAGTAAGCTTATTCTAAAAATAGTTACTGAACACTTACTAAGTGGGGATACAACTGTGAGCTGAACGTCACATTTGGGAAGCCTTCCTGACTCCCTCAGAGCTGGTTTTGTGTGATGGATGGGCCCTCACAATCTCCCCTGTAACTATTATCACAGTGTGTTGAGTTGCCCGGTTACAGGGCTGTCTTCCCTTTTGGATTGTGAGCTCCCTGAGATAAGGGCCAGGACTTCTTGTCCTCACTGCTCAGCACGGAGCCTGGCACATAGTGTTGTTGTTGTTGTTGT